CGGGAACGCGGGGCGGGGGCGCGAGGAAGGCGGAGAGCTTCTCTAAATGATCCCTCACGGGCCGCACGCGCAGCAGGTCACGCGCAGTGGGGCGCTGCGCGGGGTCGGGCCGCAGCATGAGGGCGGCGAGAAGCTTCAGACTGGCGCCGCAGGAAGGCGGGAGGGCATAGGCGTTGCGCAGGATCTTGATGATCAGCTGCGACGGAATTTGAACAAACAACGGGGAACGGGTGTGAGGGAGGGTGACGCGTGCGCTTGTCGGTCAGTGGCGCGGCGGCTGCCTCGCCGCTGCCGGCCCTGCGCTCGTCGGCGGGGCCGTGGGCATGGCCTGAGCGGAGCCGGCGGCGCGCGTGGCGCAGACGAGAGCGGGTTGATCCGATGCGCTACAGGGTCCATTCACGGGATAGCACCTGCTCGTGGATCGCCGCGGGGCTATGCACGGCTGCGGCACGCAAGCAGGTGAGGCGACCAAACCCCCAGAGCGCCCTCAGCGCGTGCGGCCCGCGCACCTGCGGCAGCCCCCGCGCGTCAAAGGCGGGGCGCCGCGCCGCCATCTCGACCAGGGTGCAGCCGGCGCTCCAGACGTCGGCGGCGGTGGAGTAGGGGCGGCCCGCAATGACCTCGGGCGCAGTGTAGGCTGCAGAGAAAAGGGGTGCGCCGAGGGGGAGAGCGGACGGGCGCCGGTGGCCGCGAGCTTGTGCGTGCCATTGTACACGCGGTCTTAAACGTCGCATGGAGGGCGGCTTCGGACGCGCCCCGCTAGCTGCTGCACCGAGGGCGGACAGCTGCGGCCGGCTTGACGTCTCTTCGATTGAAGTGGTCGGCACACGCTGTGAAGCAAGGGCTGGACTCGCCGCCTGAGCGCGGCCTGGGCCCAGCTGCATCCCGGGTGTGTGTTGACCCGAGCCCCCAACCGCCCACAGCCCCCCCGTCAAGAACACGCACGTACACACACACACACACACACACACACACACACACACACGCACACACACACACACACGCACACAACCACCCACCCACCCACACACACACACACACACCGCCCCCACCTGGTGTGCCCATGCATGTCTCCGCCAGGGGGTTGGCGCTGTCCAGCAGCGTCGACACCCCCAGGTCCGCCAGCTTCAGGATGCGGTGGCCCCTGGAGGCCGTGCAGTGGCGGGGGTTTTCAGAGGGCAGGGTGATGCGGCTTCACGTCTGGAGAGAGGGGCCCGAAGGGATCCCTGGCTACCCAGCAGCGTGCTGGGTTTGTTCAAAGGTAGGTGGCTGTGCGGGTGCGACCCCAGAGCAAGATGGCGGAAATCGCGGCCCTTTCGAGGTGTATAAGCACCCAGGAAATTGAAGAGGCACTCTATCAATCAGCGCCTGAGGAAGCTTGCCAGAAGCTGCACGGTCGCGACCAGCAGCTCCGGGGTCAAAAAAGCGCACGTCGTGGCAAACCGGAGCGGCCTTGCGAAGAGACTGGCGGGCACCAGCTGCAGCCAGGTGCGGAACAGAAGCTTGGGGGTCAAAATGCAAACCCTTGGAACAGAACGCCCACCTCCATCCCCTTGCATTGCCCCACACACAGGCTGCCCGCTCGCGGCGATGGCCTTCGGGCGGCCCCACCATACCCGCAAAGCAGGATGTTCTCTGGTTTGATGTCCCTGTGGCACACGTGGATGCTGTGCAGCCGGTCCAGCGCCAGCAGCAGCTGCACAAACCAGCCCATAACGGTGTCCTCCGGGAACGGCTGCGGCGGCGCCTCCGCGTCGCCGGCGCCGGCACGCGACTGCAGCGAGTGACGGGGGCCCGGGCACGTGGCGGGTTCCGGCGGTTGACGGGCTGCCTAGTGCCAAGAAGCGAGGGCTCGCAGCATTTGCTTCAGCAACATATCACATCACATTAGATCAGATCAGGTGACAGTGGCGAGGCGTCACCTTGAGTATGGCGCCGAGGGTGCCGCCCTCGCACCGCTCCAGCAGCAGGCACAGCACCGGCGCCCGCCCCGCGCCGCCGCCGCCGCCGCCGGCGGCGGCACCCAACCCATCGCCGTCGCGGCCGGCGGACGCGGCGCCCGGGCCCGCGCCGTCCGGCGGCGGCGGGCGCCAGAACCAGCCGTGCAGCTGCAGAATGTTGGGGTGGCGCCCCGCGAGCGCCAGCAGCTCGATCTCGCGTGCCACCTGTTGGGTCGGTGATTTGAATTTCAGGTCAACACCAGGCCGAATGGCAGCTCACAAAAAGCTTGTGTTTACAGGTTGTGCTGTCGCGCCGTAGCGGCTGTCTGGCGGCAGCATTGCATGTGCACTGTAATCTCCCAGGCTCTCATGCCAACCACAGATGCCAAGCCGCCGTATACAGCTGCCAACTGCTCTGCCAATGAGCAGAGAAGTCGCAGAAACGTGGGCTGTACCATGTTTCCAACACATTGAGCACATGAAAGCCCTGCAGGGGCCTCAAAGCACTGCCCACCCACCTGCCCCAGATGCCCCGGCCCCGTCCTGTCAAGGCATTTCGCCACCAGCCGCCCCCCCGGCCGCGCCCGCCCCGCCGCCCCCCGCGCGCCGTCCTCGGCGGGCAGCAGCGCCGCCGCGTACACGGTCGCGTGCGCGCCCGCGCCCAGGCGGCGGCCGAGGGCGACGCGGGAGGCGTCCACCATCAGCGCCGCCAGCTCGGGCCGCGCAAGCGCCGCAAGCGCCGGCGGCGGCGCGCCCTCTGGCCCCGCCGCCCGCGACGCCCCCTCCAGCGTCTCCGCCATGCCCGCCTGACGCTCGGCTGCAATTTCAAATCTTCTCCTTATGAATCAATGCAATGCAAATCAACTCGATCCCAGCACATCCAGGTTCTCTCGATTGCTCATTATGCTTATAACGTGTTCCAGATCAATGCAGAGATCCCTGGCTGAAGGGCGAGGGGGTGCCCGCGCCTCCAGGCCTCACGGGTCCGCGCCGCTGCCCTCGCTCCGCCCCTCCTCCAGCTGCGCCTGCTCCCCAGGCTCCCCTGCCCCTGCGGCTGCCGGCGCCGCGGCGGGCGCCTTGAGGCTGGCCGCGGCGGCCTTGCGCATGAGGCGGAGGTTGCCGGCCTGCGTGTCCCTCACTGCCAGGCGCTGCAATTGGTCCCCTGATAATGGATTCAGCCGCAGGGGACGGCGGGGGGCGAGACGGGGAGCAATTCTGCATCACATGGCTGGCGGGATGATAAGGCGGTGAGGACGGCACGCCGATCACAGGCAGGGAGCGGCAGCTGGGCCGGCACAGCACACAGGGCACCCCGGGTTGCGATTGAGGGGCCGTGTTTGGGTGTTTCGGGAGGGGGGGGGAGTAAGGGGCGAGGGCTCACACTCGAAGTTCTCCTTGGCGTATGCGTCCCGAACCTCTATGATGCGCAGGGCTGGGTGGGGCAGAGGGATGAGAT